ACAAATACAAATACAAATACAAATTGTACAAATACTTGCAATTAATTATTGGATTACTCTAGTATAATATTTTCATTCTATTATTTGAAATAATAGAACTATAGAACTCTTGTGCAATTAAGTTATAATGCCTATGCTAGTTTACTGAAATTTTTAAATAAATCTAAGAACTGTAAAACATAGTATTTTCCATTGTCTGAGCCTAGTTGGAATTTAATTGTTATTTTCAACACATGGAAAGTTAAGATTGCCCCCCCCCTCCGCAAAAAAAATCTTAGCTAATTTCTATAGCAGATTTGACATATGGAGTCCAAGAGTTGTAAGCATATAACATAGTTATGAGTCACTTAATCCAATCACTTTAAATTCCATTTATTTACAAGCTATATTTATACTGTCTAAATTTCTTGGGAAACTTTCCTCCTCCCAGTAAGTGAGCGGGGCTTGAATTGCTCTTCTTGAGCCTATTGATATTGTTAAGAGAATTGTTATATAATTCTCATGCAGAACATAGTTATCAAGTTATCAGGTGATTTAGGAAGTTAGAATCCTTTTTAAAAAATATAGTGTACAATATATGGAAAAATCAACACAAGATGAACCAATATCTAGCCTTGTTTGAAATCTGACTGATAATAATTCTAATTTTTAGCTTTAATTTTTAACAATTTAATTATTTAAAATATAATTTCATTATTTTAAAACACTTTAATTATTGTTAGTATTAGTTTAAATATTGTAACAACTTTACTTAATTAAAGGGTACCTTGCATAAAGTTTACGTGCTATAATGAGCAAACTAATAATGCAACAAGTTGCTGGATCAATTTGCTTATTTTTGGGCCTGTAATAGCATGTCTTCCAGTATATGCATTATTCAATCTTTTGGGGCTACATGATTATGATGAGGTGCTACATGATTATAACGAGGAAAGCCCATTATTGCTTGTGCCTCCTCATGCTGGATTGACTGAAGTTTCCAGGGGGTCTTTAAGGGCAGTTCAATAGAGTATAGAGTATATTGCAGTAGTCAAGCTGTGATGTGACTAGGGCATCAATGACTGTCTGAAGGTCCCAATCTAGAAAAGGTCTCAACGGGTACACCAGATGGTACATAATTGTTTTTGGTCCAGCTGAATATCCACTTCAACCAGGAGCTTCGTCCAGGAAAACCCTCAAACTACATATCAACCTTAAAAGGGAAATTTCTATCTCATGCAAGATAAACGATGGAATATGGCTCAAACACCCACAACTTATATTGCATAATAAATGTACAAAATATAATGCATTTTGATCTTTTGCTTACTTGAAAATACATTATAAATTACAATGTATGCATACAATATTAATTTCCCATTAGTAATTCTTGTTAGAATAGTTTTCAATTAAGATAATTTTGCTGTTTCTTTTATTTGAAATGTGTTTTCTTAATTACAAATTATAAATTAATTATAAATCCAGCTGAATGTTTCTATTCATTGGAATTACAAATTTTATAATTTCTTCATCTCCTTCATTGTAAATAGAGAAGCCTGATAGTCTCTTCTATAATTTTAGGCGATCCTGGCAGTGGAAAGACTATTATGATAGATAATATGCTTGAAAGACTCCAAAAAGATGGATTAAATATAAGGAAGAAAACAATATTAGGAGAGGTTTTTCACTACAACCAGTCTAAAATGTCAAGGTAACTGCTAGGAAATTTAGAGGAGAATGCAAGCTCTTTCTTGAATATATTGATCTTAAATATTTCAGCAATACCTGACTAGTATGTTAATGGTAAAACAAGTGAGAATATAACTTTTCTTCACAGTGGCATTTTTTTAATTGAGTCTGGTTGGGATCATAGTAGAGGACTGGAAGACTTTTGAATCCTTTATATCTACATCTCTAGTCTCCAATTTTTTCTCCTTTTTTGATATATGACTTTTCTATTCATGGGAGGAGTCACTGAGCTTATATAAAGCTAAATCACAGTCAGCCAATCCTGATATGACTCGGTATATTTTCTTTGAATAAATTTGTTAATGTTGATGACTTATCTATATAAATAAATAAACAATAGTGTAGTAACAATAGTTCAGATTTAATATACTGGAAAATTCTAGAAAGTAATAACTCCAACCACATTTTTGTTCGATGGTTTTGTGAGAGAACTAGCAATCTTGTGTTTTCTTAATCTGTGTTTATATTTTACTGTCTAGCTTGATGAGGAACAACAGTATGCTGAAAACAGATCAGTTTCGTAGCTCTTGGAAAATAACACATTCTTCAACCAAAGAATTACGTATGTAATTGATTTTAAAGAAAGAAGAAAATGTTTTAGGGATAGATTTTCTTTTTTAAATGATATATTACATTTTAAAGGAATAAGATCTTTAAATTCCAAATTATGCCTAATGTTAAATACTGAAATCACATCCTTAATGAGAAAAGAATTCACTAAAGAGATTAAGATTGACCAAATGTAAATGAAAATTAAAAAAATGGTTCCATAAAATAGCTAGGGATTTTATTCCTCTCACTTTATTTCATTTCTCTATGCACACCTGGATTTTTTAGTACATATAGAGAGCATGTTGGTGTCTTTCACTGCCAGCTTAATATACCAATTAATTTATAAGAATTTTAAATTGACTCCATAAGGTTTTAAATAGTGTAAATAAGATTAATAACATAATACAGTAATAATATAGAAGAGGAAATTAATTTATGGCATAATCTTTTGAACCTTCTTACAAGTCTTTTAAAGCATTGATATATTAGCTTAGGATACAGCCACCTGAATCAAAGGTGGTTGTTTTCCAAGCATGATTCTCAAAGTTGAGAATCTTGAAGAAAATTCATGACTGGCATGGACTAAGTTTAACTATTAAATTTTTAACTGATTCTATTCTTTTGCTTTGTGCAGAGTACCTTATTTATTTCTCAAAATCTTTCTGCCATTTCAGATTACAAATTTTAATAATCATAGGAAACAATATGTTTCCTATGCATGTTCTGAATACATATATGTCGGTATAAACCAGTCTTAACATTACTAAGAATTGAGTTCAACCTGTTTTACTTCTTTGGTTTTACAAAAAATGATATCTAAGTGGTATTCTAACAAGGAATTCTATATATGGTAGTTATATTAGCAAAAGTATTACGCATCTATTTTAACCAGGAAAATCAGATCAATAGCAGTTAAATTGCCTTAAATGCAATAGTAATGCAGGTGAAGTTTGCTGGTTTGGAATGCCTATTTTCTACTTGATTCTGATTCTTATTGTGACTGTTATTTAGTAACAGCTATAAATTATATTATAGCTAATTTTACCTTGTTATTTTTATGTAAATTTATGATAATAGTAAAATAATTTGAAGTATGAAAAATATTTTAAACTTACAATCTTTCATAGTCAAAATGCTTCATTCCATCATTGACATATTTGTGTCACATTTGAATATACCAGAGGTGTTTCTAGCTTGAAATACCTTGAACAGAAAATATTTTGCATACCCCTAAAAAGATTTAAAATTAGGTAAAATTCTAACAATTCAATTTGTTAAAGTTTCAGCTCTCAGCTCAATAAGAGAGGATTCCTATGTTGAAGAACCATCTTCAGGGCCTATCATTTGTAAATTACAATTATGTGCCCATACAAGTGCAGCTCAAACGAAGAGTTTGATCACCCAGAAATTAATACTGAGAAGTAAAGATGTCATGGGTGCTCCACAATCTAAACAAGTAAGAACTTTAATGAAAGCTTATTTGTTAATCACATATATAATAAGCAGTTTATTCAGTCTTCATTTCAAAGAAAATTGATTTGACCACAATTAGTCTAAAGCAAAAAACAGAACATATTAACGTTTAAAAGTTTCAAGAACCTCAGATTCTCGTGGTCTCTAGAGGCAGTTTCATGATTACTACTCTTACTGGATAGGAGCCACTAAAACTTTAGAAGAAAAAAAACAAATTAATTCCAGTGCTCCCAATTTATTATTTCTTTCTTTCTTTCTTTCTTTCTTTCTTTCTTTCTTTCTTTCTTTCTTTCTTTCTTTCTCTTTCTTATCTAACTTCCTACCTACCTATCTACCTACCTATCTATCTATTTTTAGCAAATAAAACTCATAGCAAAACAACTCTCAAAGTGCTTTAAGAACATGCTGCTTAAATTCAGCAATAAAATAGACATCTTTGAGTAATGCAATCCTGACAAAAAATAATTGAATAAATGGGAATTTGAGGTATTTTTGAGATGAACCATTCTCATCCTTATTCCCCGCCAGCGGGGGGGGGGGGTGTTCCTAAAATTATGCAACTGGAATTTGTCAGCAAAATTTAGCAATGCAATCGGGACTCCTTTTAAAGTTGTGTTTTAAATATTGCATTGGTAGGAATTGTAGTGGGAGTACTCTGGGAGTAGTATTGCTTCTATTATCATTTTTAAATCCCTATACTGATTGTCACTAAATTGAAATTGCAATGGTGCTTAAGATCTTACTTCAGTTCCCCTTGCTTTATAGAACTGCAAAAGTCATAAATGTAGGATTAATTATAAAGTGACTTTTTCATCATAAAGTTAGTTTTTCGTCACTGTTGTAATTGAGGATATTTGCTAAATGAGATAGTTGCTAAACAAGAATTACATGCAAAATCCCTGAAAGCCACAAAAAAGTATCAAAAGTTTCAAACATCCTCCTTTACTGACAGCATCAGAAAGTTTAGCTTGCAAGAAGCAAGTTGTGTTCTCCAGCCTAGAACAAATTGTCTATCCCTGTGTTATACAGAAAGAAATGAGGAAGAAAACAGGACAAGAGTTATACAAAATAAACAACAATACAAAAACGAATTTTGGGAGAGGGAGAGAGAGAGAGAAAGAGAGAGAGGGGGGAGAGGGAGAGAGAAGGAAATGGATTGCAATTGGACATGTATTTCAAAATTTCTAGGCATCTGCTCAATTATATTACCAGCTGCATCTGGAAAAGTGAACAAGAAATGGATTTACTTAATATGTTTCATTAGTAGTGAAAACTGAAACAGAATACATGCAAACCTATTACGTAGAATAGTCCCATCAAATGCAAACAATCCTAATTCAGATAATAATAAACTCTTTGTTGGAGCCAATTATTAGGATTTAGGGTGATTTTCTAAGCAACCTTTTCAATGACTGAATACAATATATACTGTAGAATAGAATAACAGAGTTGGAAGGGACCTTGGAGGTCTTCTAGACCAATGCCTTGATATATATGCATAATGGATCATACTTATTATATGTAAAAACAAAAATACCACAGATAAAAATTAAATGTCTCATGTTTTTGTTAATATACTTCAATTGTGATAAGCATTTTTGGTTTTTATTTTACTTATTTCAAGACACTACTGTTTATTGATGATTTGAACATACCAATCACAGAAGAATATGGATCCAAGCCACCATTAGAATTCATCCGTCAGTTTGTGGAGATGGGTGGATTTTATGACGTTAAACACCTTGAATGGAAAGTATGTTTAATATGGATATCATTTCTTTTGTTATTTTTGATTTTTGTTAAATTAAGATCTTTTCATTAAACATTTGTCATGTAAATAGAGTATTCTGGATCAGTTGAAATTCATTCTCATGTTAGGTGGCCTAGATTCTTAGGCACATAGGTTTAGCAGAGAAATTAGGATTTTTAAATTCATTTTTAAAGTACAGGTAATCCTTGAGTTACAAATGTAATGGAGCCTTCTAATTACATTAATAATCCAAGGATTTGTTAATTGGAACTCATTAAATGAACAAGCCTCATCCTCCTCTCCCCAAAGCATTTGTTAATCGAATATGCGTGTCATTAAAAGCACATAGGGTACCTTAGGAGTGGGGAAGACCATGGGAGTCCTAGTACAGGAACCAGACCTCTGCCTCCAGCCACCAAGGCCTTTCCCCCAGCCACGTGTGTTCACAAATGTAAGCACACACGCCATGTGTGCATGCTCACTGCCTTCTGCGCATGTGCAGTATTCATGCATGATGTTGGGGAGAGTGGGCAGATCCTCCCATAGCCTCCACTACTGATTTGCCTGAACTGGAGATAACTAACTGAATACCACCTCTGATGTCCCCACCATCTTTCTCTTTGATGGGCTGTACATATTTAGCTCCCTCAACCATTTGTCATATTATTTAACCTCAAAGCTCTTTGTCATCTTTGTTGCTTTTCTATACACATTCACAGGGTCTCAACGTTTTTTTGGGAGGGTGGCCAAAGCTGGATGCAGTACTCCAAGTGTGGTTTCACCAGCATGGTGTAAAGTGATGCTATCATTTTTCATTGACTTGACACTATCCCTCTGCCTAAAACTGCATTGGCTTTTTGGGCAGCTGCAGCACACTGCTGGCTTATACTTAAGCGGTGGTTCATTAGGACACCTAGGTCGCTCTCACAATTATTAATGTTCAGCCAGTTACTGCCTATTCTTACCTATGCATTTGGTTTTTACTGCCTAAGGGCAGGACTTTACTTTTCTCACTATTGACCTGCACCTTGTTGGAAAGGATAGGACTCGATGTTCAAGTTTTCCAAAATCCCTTTGAATCTTGAGCTTATCTTTTAAAATATTGAAGTATATCAGAGTTTTAAGTAAATTAATTTGTTGTGTTCACATCTGATTTAGCTCTCAGAATTGCAGATCTTTTAGTTACTTGATTTTTCAATTAAGTTTTTTAATTATACAGTCAGCAGCTATCTTGAGATTCTGAGCTATATTAGTTACATTATGAATTATACTACAGTTATATTACGGATGATTACATATACATTTTTTGGTTTTGAAGTTGATTTTGAGGGGGGGGGGGTATTCAATAAAAATCTTAATGAACCTAAAGGATTTCCTAGGAGATTTGTACTTTTGTCTATATTTGTGATGTATGAAGTTCTGTATTACCCTAGGAACAGATTGATTTCTTTTAATTGCATTAGAACTTTTTCATAAGAATGTATAGGTTCATTATCAGTCATTCTGAACTGGTAAAACAATATTATAAATATGTTGATTTATAGGTTTTTTTAAAAAAATGCTATCATGTATTTTTCTAACAGCATATTAAGGACATTGCCACAATTGCATGCTGTACACCTCTAAATGTAGGAAGTAATGAGATTAGTACTCGTCTTCTATCCCATTTTTGCATCTTAGTTTTGCCTACAACTTCCTTACAGTCTTTGCAACGTATTTTCCAGGTAATTATCACAAAACATTTATTTATTTACTTATACAAAGAGCAAAAAAACGTAATGAAACATAACTGAAAATTATAACTATAGCAATAGCATTTAGACTTACATATCACTCCATACTGCTTTACAGCACTCTCTGGGCAGTATACAGAGCCAGCATATTGCCACAAACAACCTGGGTCCACATTTTACTGGCCTCAAAAGAAGGAAGTCAACCTTGAACTGGACAGAATTGAACTCCTATGGGCAGAGTTAGCCTGCAGATACTGCATTCTAACCAGTGCATCACCAGGGTTTTTATAGAAATGCCCTTATATAAAAAAGGAATTGAAGATTGAAAAATTGCTGAACACTAGAAAGTTGGATAATGATGGCACTTAACAATCAATTTAGCAACCTTTTTGGAAGTATGCAGTTATTGTCAGCTAAGAGAAGAAGAATTACCCTTCTCTGAGTAGTTGTGAGAAATGGTTAGAAAGTACATTGTTAAGTCATCTCACCACAAAATCTAGAAGAGAGCAAAAGTGCATTAGGCACTATTTCTAGCAGTTAGTGAGGCAAAGTTTATCATCTGGAGAATTGCTGAATTGTCTTTCTAACAACAAAAGTGGCAAATAGAACAGGCAAGACTGGAATATTTGCTGCTTGAAATATTGCATTACATTATTTTTTTTGCAATATTTCAAGTTCACTGACAATGTTGTGTTCTTGTGGAAGACAGACTTCTTCAATTAATGGTTATCAGTTATTATGTGACTGCTGGGCCCTGAAAGATCCTGGATTGAAACAAACACTGATATTCTGCATGTCCTGTATGAAACAGGCTTTTGGGGATGGATAGAATAGGGCTATTCTCCCATGCTATGTATTTAGCAAACATTCTCTGCTCATTCCATTAAAAAGTGTTTACTAATTATTTATTTAAAAGATTTATATGGCCATTTTAAGCAACTCTATGTGGTTTACAACACAATAAAACTAATTAACAAAACAATTCTAAAACAATAAAATATTGAAACAAAACCTTGTGCCATAATAATCCCTCTGGGATGCCCCACAGCAGGCTCAATTGCCCTCCTTCCATATGATCTTCTTATATAAATTTAGCTTACAGATTTCCAAAATCAAAATAATGAGCAAAAGAGTAGTCAGATGAAATCCAAAGGCAAAGAGCCTATAGTAATTTTGTCAGCCGTTCCAGGTTCAAAGTCACAGTCATGAAATCCAAGAGTCAAGGCACATGAACACACATGGTTGTCAACAGGGGGACTTGGGTTTGCCACTTTGTTTTAATAGTTGTTTCTTGTTTAGCAGGGTAAAACTCCTTCCTTGCAAGCAGTTTTGCAGAGCACCTTTGCTGTATTATTTTTGCATTGTTGGAGCTGTTTGTTGTTGCATTGGGATGGAGCAGTAATTCTGCATCTTCATCTTTGGAATACAACAGCAGCTGTGTCTGCTGGTATATTGACCAATCCCACCTTCTCTGCCTGCTCAGACGAAATTCCACCTGGTGACTTTGAAGCAACTGCTCATGATCTGTTACCACACCTGGAGCTGGCTACTTGTCATTGGTTTCCTCCTTTAACTCTGAATCAATCATAACAATTCTATCCAATGCCTCAATAAAGAACAAGAATTTACTAACTTTCTAAAAAGATAGAAGGGGGTGGAGTTCTTGAATCGCTGGTAAAAGAATGTTTCACAAGGTAATGGCAGCCACAGAAAAAGTATATTTCCATGGTCCCATTAGATGGCATGATTTCAGGGAGGGGACCTGGAGCATGCTCATCCTATCTGATCTAGTGGGATGGACATGTATCCTTAGGGAGAGACAGTCCTACAAATAATTAGGTCCTGTATTATGCAGAGCTTAAAAACTAATAACCAGCATCTTGAATTGCATCTGGAAGAAGCTGGGAGCTAGTACAGTTCGTGCAAGATATATGTAATATGGACAAACCTATGGACACCCAATGCTGTGTGAGCTCCTGCAATTCAGACTAGTTGTAACTTCCAAATTGTCCTCAAAAGCAGCTCCATATAAAGCACCTACAACTGGGAGGTGACTAAGGTATGAATGACCATGAACAAAGCCTCCTGATCCAGGAAAGACAACAACTGGAGGACAACACAAATCTATACACTCCATACCCCACCCCCCCAACCACAGTTGCCACTTGCTCGCCAAGCATAAGCCATGAAACTAGGAGAACTCTCAAATTGTGCACCTGCTTGGTATGGGGGAGTATAACCATGCTCAAAATGACTAGACCCTGGTATCAAAAGCCCAGTCAAAGTTAGTTCATCCCCATCAAGAGCCTTAAAACCTCCAGCTGCTCAGGCAACCCTGCAACAGCCTCAAATGTCCATCCAGGGTAGAAATATATAGCTCTGTATCACCAAATACCAATGATACCTTATCCCATACCATCAGGTGACTTCACCAGTGGTTTCATATATATATTAAAGAGGAAAAGGGAGAGACCAGTGCCCTGAGGCACCTAACTTTACAGTGACTTAGAACTCTACATCTCCTCACCCATCCTCACCAACTGACCATTGAGAAAGGAGGTGAACCATCACAAACCATGCCTTTCAACTCCCAGTACCAATCCTCAAGGATAGCATGCCAATATCAAAAGCCACTGAAAGATCTAAGACAGATGCATGACCCCCATCCTAGGCCCACCAGAGATCATTAGCACACATAAGAAATACTGTCTCAGTGTTGTACCATAAACCAAGACTGAAAAGGGTCCAGGTACACTACTTCATATAGGGCCATTGAAGCTGCATGTCAACCACACTTTCAATAACCTTTCCCCAAAAGGAAAGGTTGGAGACTGGGTGAAAGTTGTCTAATGAAGGCAAAATATTAGAAGTTCTGCCATTGTTGAAGGCATTGAGGAATGTAGTAAGGAAATATCTCTGAATCAATGACACTATGGGTCATAGATTGTTCAGTATAATTCTGAACAATCTGTAGAGCAATTGATACTGCATCTAGACTGATAATTATAATAGTTATGATTGCTTGAATGTTCTCAAATGCTTTTTAAAGTGTACATTTAGACAGTTTATTACACATTGCTGTTTCATAAAGCCTGTTTTATTACATTATGTAAAATTCTTACAATTTAGTTTGCAAATATCTAAAATAATGTAGTCTAATATAGCTATGTTAACAACAGTTTTTTAAAGTAATGTACATAATTTAGCATCTTTATTATTAAATTATATTAAATGGAAAATGTTTACATTTTTTTAAATGTATAAAATATTTTTGTAGGTACGTCTGGGAACATACTTTTACATTAATAGATTCTTGGTTGAAGTTCAGAAGTGTACAGATTATTTAACGTGTTGCTCTATTGCACTGTACTATAGAATGCTTTATAAAATGCTTCCAACACCTGCTAAATGCCATTACATATTTAATCTACGAGATCTTTTTAAGGTTTGTGTTTCTTGATTTTTCAATTGGTTAATGGTTAATCAGTGAAATATAGGTAGCCTCATTTGGTGACCACATTTGGGACCCACAAGTCAGTCATTGACAGAAGCAGTTGCTAAGTGTTTAGTGACTATGCTTATGATCTTATTTCAACCCTCCTTTGCTTTACAGACTAAAGAAGGTTGTAAATGCAAGGATTGGTCATAAGATTACTTTTCAATCATTATGGTTCCTGAACAGTCACTAAAAAGACTGTCTGTATTCCATAAATTATAGAATAGGAAAGCAAAAAGACTTTTAAATAGAAAGGTTGCTTAAAAGAAATACATAAATAGGTTATGATCAAAACTCTCAAAATGTGAAGGAGAGGAGGATTTTAAACCAGGATTATACATTTTACTGAACAATCACAAACCCCTTTTTTTTCTTTATTGTCTCTCTGCTTCCTTTTACTTTTCCTGCTATGAACCCTGCATGATCATACTCAATAAAACATACATGAATACTACTATATAAACAAGGAATGTTCACAAGTGAATAATTATTAGTCAATATGCACATAAAGTATGGAGAAAGAGAAGAGAAAACTGGGTCTATGTTGGTTAAAGCTTTAGTCCTGTCCTTATCAAAAAGGGATAACTGAGGAAAATATAGCAGTTACTGTAGTTGTCTGAAATTTTCTAAGAAAGAAGCAAACATTTGCAAAATTATATGTAGCACTCTGTAATGACACAGGAATTCTGTAATTTTGTAAATTATTCAAAATATGATCCCTATTAGTAAAATAGATGTACAGACATAATTTTATGAGATATCCCAAGTATTATCAATTTAAGATTATTGCAAATTTTATCCATCCATAGAATCAAGTTCAGACTTAGTGCCACCTTTCTGAGTTGGATAAGAAATGCATTTCTACATATTCATGGACATAGTTTTCAGTGAATAATAATAGTTGGGATTTCTTGTTTGTACGAAGGTGATGCTGCTATTAACATTTATTCTGAATATGTTGGTGATTAAGGTTTATATTATCAATACCTGTGAAATTAAATTTCTTTTGAAGGATAATTCTGTCATCTAACAATGGAAATCATTGTTTCTTTTATTAATATATGAAATGGATATCCCACCCTTCAGGGCTATTAAGCACCATTGTAAAATACCTAAAGCAACTTTGGGGTAATGATAAAACATGAAATCAGTTCAGAAAGTATCTTAAAAGTTTTATTAACTTCAATAGTAATGTGAATATAGCTTCAATTTAAAAAGTTACTGTTAAAATCAATATTATAGGTACTTGAAGGACTACTTCAAGCCCACAAGTCAGTCATTGTCTCAAAAGAAACAACAGCATTATTGTTCATGCATGAATCTACTCGAATTTTCCATGATCGTCTAGTTGATCTAGCAGAGAAGGAGACATTTTATCAGTTTCTTTCAAATGAGCTCCACAATTATTTTAAAGTAAGTGTACTTATAGGTATGATGCATATACTGTTTATATATATGATGCCAACATGATCTGATATATATTTGTGTGCTCTTTCTCTTCCTTTCCATGAGGCAGTATTTGTATTTGAGAATTTGTATTAATGTATTTCATAATCTATATATCTCAAAATTTAGATACATAGTGACTTTTAGCTTGTCTAAGAAAGATCATTAGCCTGATAAAGATTTCAAATTACAAAATTATTCCTGTAGATTTCCTGGACAAAGGAGAAGTTGATGGAGGAGTCTCCTCTATTTGTAGATTTTCTAGATTACACTGTACCTTTAGATAGGAGAATATATAGAAATGTACCTAGCCGGAAGGTTCTTCATTCGACACTGGAAGACTATTATATGAGAATGCAAATAAAAGAGTCAGAGGTATTTTTTGAAATTCTATTTAATATTGATGCATTGTAATTGCTATGTGATGTGAGCCAATAGTGTATACATGTATCTTAGGTGCTAGATGTCCTTCGGAAAAATTCTTATGACACTGGACAATCTACTTTCCTCTAATTTTCCCCTATGCACAAATAGCAGGACACAGGTAGCTGAGCAGCTAAGTACTGTAGTTAAATAAAAATGTCATATGGCATTCCTCCTCAAATTCAAGTCCCAGCTATATTCAAGAAAGATGGGATAACAAGGAAAATTAGAATGGATAATTCAGAATTGATAAGTAGTTTCTTCTATCTGTTAGTTCAGGATCATCAATATGCAGATAACACTCAGCTTGATTTTTTAACTCTGTTGCTCTGTTCCGGAGATGCCGTTGAAGCTTTGTGCCATCTCAAGGCTGTAGGGTTCTGGGTGTAATGACATAAGTTAAAACTTGGTTGATTGCTGCTTAGAATCAATTTATGATTGAAGTGTCATATATACATGAAAGATAAATTAGCAAAATTGAACCTAAACAAAATGGAGGTGCTGTTTGTTCACCAGTTTGTTCATCAGCTCTAATATTATCTCTCAAGGGATGTGAGTGTGGTGTGGTACTGTCCTAAAGGAGCAGGTGCTTGATTTGAGGACCGTAACACCTCCTGCTGGAAGTGCAGATGAAGACTGGGGCTGGAAGAACCTTTGCTCAACTATGTCTAGTACCTTGGTTGCCACCTTACCTGGTACAGGAGGATTTAGCTACAGTGGCTCATATCTTTATTGCCACTTGGTTGCACTTCTGTAATATATTCTATATGAAAAGCATTTGAAGATAATCTGATTGGAGCAATCAGCTTGATTGCTAAGCCAGATAGGATTTTAAAAGGCATACAGAAAGGTATTGATAGTCAGGGCAAGTCCACATATACAGTATGTGTATTACGCTAATAGTGACTCTGTCAGTCAATGTGGGCCACTGCAAACTGCTACATCTTGTAAAATCCTATCTGGTTTAGCAACCAAATTGCCAGCTCCAACCAGGGTTGACTCATCTGAGGCAATACTTTTTGGAAAAGCTATTGGTAGTATCCCATTTTCATGAGGTGATGCTGGCTGGAGCCAGGAAATACTTTTTTTTAGTTATGATGCCAATGCTTCAGAACCACCTGCTCTGGAAATAAGATTGGTCCTTTCAGTATTAGTCTTGTCTGGAAGCTGGAAAGCTGATGAAAACACAACTCTTCCAGAGAGCTTTCATTGACTGATATAATGACAATATGTATTTATTTTTCTCCATTTATTTTATTTGGTTTGTGGTATGATTGTTCTATGTTGGGCTATATTTATTGTAGATCTGTGTTTCTGTTTTCTTATTCTATGGCTTTTTTAAGCTCCTCAAATCTGGGAAGATTGAGCAGTATACAAATCAATAAAGAAATAACTGAAATTATTTTTATGATGTAGTTCAATATTTCCTATTTCAAATTTCTATCGGCAATATTAATTGCTTATTTTTCATCTGCACTGAGTAGCTAAGAGATTCCTCATTTACAAAGATTGGGGATTGCTCCTTTTTCAAGCAAAATTCTCCATCCTATTGTGCTTTTGAGTGTTAAAAATAGAGAAAGAAAAACAAATGTGCTTATATAGCTCATTTCTGCTATACTTTTTCTAACTCCTGTTCTTTTCCAAATTTCATTGAATCATTCCATCGATTTTATGTGGAATACCATTCAGATTTTTGGTAGCTTTGTAATGAAGCACAGTTAAATATGCACAATACTAGGTATGCATATGATGGGGTTTCTATATCTTCCAACCACAATTTCCTGTGCCTTGCCACAACACTTGGGGTGGGGGAGCCTTCTTTTACACTTGTTTACTTGAGAAGGGAGAGAGGCAAACCAACTTGACTTTTCTATTGCTTAAACTGGTTGCCGGGGCATATTAATAAAGGCTCAATTATTTGTCAGAATGAGAGGATTGATTCAATTAGAAATGGAGGGCTTTGGTATCTATTCTTAGGTTAAGGAATCAGAAAGGAGTTGGAAACCCCCAAAAGAAAAGAAAACTAAGAGAAAATACCAATTGAGCCTGCAAAGTTTATCTCAGTTTATCTCAGGATGCTTTGTTACCCAGGAATATAGATAAAAAAGCACAAGAGCAAGAATGGGACTAAGAATGAGAAAGTCAAACAGCATACATCCATGAAATAAATCAAAATTCTAATTGACATCAAGCTTGCACAATTTGTATGTGACCAAAACTGTTTCTAGATCATCAATTACAGATCTCTGGGAAATGAGATTATCAGGCTTTGAACCAACCAGAATATGTTCCAGCTACTCTTGTGAGAGAGAAAAAAAAACCAATTACAATAAGCTAGCTGTTCTCTGTTTGAAAAACTTACCTGAGAGAGGAATAATCTTAGTCCTGAATGCATCTTTAGCATTCGTTTTCCCAGAATGTTTATGCCAGATCCCAAGATAGAAGGGTTAGATTTTGCTTGTCCTTTAACTCTTTCATGTTTGAAAGGTGTTTTGAAAGGAAGTTCCCCCCTATTTCCTACATTTCTGCTTTCTCTTCATTAGATCTCCATGGTATTTTTCAAAGAAGCAGTACAGCATGTAGTTAGAGCTGCAAGGGTTTTTCGACAACAAAATAGTCATATGACACTGGTAAGAAACTTTATTTTTAATTGGATATATTATATAAGATGTCAAAATGGTTTGTTTCTATTTAAAAGTAGCACACCTTAACTCAGTGGTTGTCAACTTCCCAATGCCGCGACCCTTTAATACAGTTCTTCATGTTGTGGTGACCCCCAACCATAAAATTGGTGTCTCGGTTCCTAAGACCATTGAAAATATGTTTTTTCTAATGGTCTTAGGCGACCCCTGTGAAAGGGTGGTTCGACCCCCAAAGGGGTCCCGACCCACAGATTGAGAACCACTGCCTTAAATCAAGGTAAATTTTAAATACCATATGTCATTAAAACACTTGTCACTAAGCCACAATTATTATCCTGCATTCTAAAAATTATTTAAACATTTTAATACATGAAGATTTGTTTTAGTAAATCATTTTTTCTTACCTGATGTTTATCTAACATTTTTAATATTTATTAACAGATTGGACTGAATGGCATTGGAAAAGCAACCTGTGTAACCTTAGCCTGTTATATATCTGAATGCAGTATCTGTAGGTTATCTACTTCCTATAGTTACACCTTTGCACATTTTCAAGAGGATATTAAAAAAGTCTATAAACAAGCTGGAGCAGAAGGCAAGAGGACTGTTCTTCTTATTACAGATTCAGATATAATTCAAGTAAGCCTACACAGACTATAAATTAGTATACATATATACATATACATATATACTATAAATTAGTATACATATTAGTATAGTATACATATACATATATACATGTGTATCATGTTAATTAAATGCTTGTTAAAATTGTCTATCTTGTTTCTCCCTTCTTTCTTAATCTTAATATATCTGGATTGTCATCAGAGGTTAGAGAAGTATTGGGAGCTGACTTTGTTTGCATTTTCACCAGTTTGCTAATAAATTATTAAAATAGGAACTATTACACTGTTGACACAAAATAACTTTAACTTTATAGCTGGCACTCCAGTAAAAGTGTCTGTAAAAAACTGTCATTTTGTCAAAATGACAAAATCTATATTGCTCCAACCCAAGGCTTCTGAAGATACTTAATTGGTATTATTTTTCTTAGGAATCAATTTTGGAAGTCCTAAGTTGTATTCTGAAATCAGGACAAGTACCCAACCTATTTGAGAAGGATGAGTTGAATAACATTATTGAATCACTCACATCAGCTTCTGAAATGACTAAGGATTCCAACAAATTGGATGATATGTATTCCTTCTTCTTACATGTATGTACTAATTTCTTGTAATCAGTATGTTCTCAGTGAAATTGCTGTGTCCATTCCAGCTTGAGTTCTACATTAATAGCAAGATCCAAAGTTGTGCTCATTGAATTTAATTGTCCCATTATTAATAGATAAATCAAGCCAGGAATGGGACAAGCTGTTATTTATAGCTTTGAAGACATCCATGTCTGTTTGACTCTTGCAAAGGCAGAGTAAGAAATTTGATTTAATGAATGATAGAAATTTTGATTATCTCCACCAAGGATGGTTTTGTATCATCTGGTCTGAAAGAAACCCGCTAAAAATGAACATTACATCTCACCTTTATGAGTACTAACTGATATCTCTGTGTTGGAAGCTGAATTAGTGAATTGCCTGAATCCTTGTTACTTGCATAATTGTTCAAAGTGACTCATATAGAGAAACAACCTGTCCTTTGAATTTGGGGGCAAATATTATCTATCATTTAAATATCTACCTGTATCATTCTATAATTTGCAGTGCAATTCTTATTTCAATGAAAATTATTTTTGTAAGTATGTACTATCATAGTCTAATGAATTATAATTATATATTAATGCATGTATATTTTCAAAGAAATAATAGTTTTACTAGAGTTTTCACACAGTATTTATTTTTCCTAGAGAGTACGCCACAACCTTCATATAGTTTTGACAGTAAATCCTACAGGACTGGTTTTCCGTCAAAATATACAGATATATCCTGCCATTGTGAATTGCTGTACAGTAGACTGGTATGAAAATTGGCCTGAAGAGGCACTTTGCCATGTAGCAAAAAGTTATTTTAGCCAAAATGAGACATTGAGAAATGAGGTATGATGTGAATATATTTTATCAAAATGGAATCTATAATATATTATTCTCACTTATGAACTCAGGTTGATTGAAACTGTTCATGAATTGTGATAGCTCATTTTAAAGACTCTGGGAAAACAATACAATATAATAGCAGAGTTGGAAGGGACCTTGGATGTCTTCTAGTCCAACCTCCCGCCTACGCAGGAAACCCTATACCGTTTCAGACAAATGGCTATCCAACATCTTCTTAAAGACTTCCAGTGTTGGGGCATTCACAACTTCTGGAGGCAAGCTGTTCCACTGATTAATTGTTCTAACTGTCAGGAAATTTCTCCTCAGTTCTAAGTTGCTTCTCTCCTTGATTAGTTTCCACCCATTGCTTCTTGTTCCACCCTCAGGTGCCTTGGAGAATAGTTTGACTCCCTCTTCTTTGTGGCAATCCTTGAGATATTGGAACACTGCTATCATGTCTCCCCTAGTCCTTCATTCTATTAAACTAGACATACCCAGTTCCTGCAACGTTCTTCATATGTTTAGTCTCCAGTCCCCTAATCATCCTTGTTGCTCTTCTCTGCACTCTTTCCAGAGTCTCCACATCTTTTCTACATCATGGTGACCAAAACTGAATGCAGTATTCCAAGTGATTTTTGATTCTATCCCTGTTTATGCAGCCTAGAACTGTGTTGGCTTTTTTGGCAGCTGCTGCACATTGCTGGCTCATATTTAAATGGTTGTCCACTAGGACTCCAAGATCCCTTTCACAGTTACTGCTGTTGAAAAAAGGTACCACCTATACTGAACCTGTGCATTTCGTTTTTGTTGCCTAAATGTAGAACCTTACTCTTTTCACCATTGAATTTCATTTCAAACATTTCAATCAGTTTCAGTAATCATAACTAGGTGGGTCTCTAGGGCTCATGGAGAATGTTGGGGAAATTGAAATGCCAGATACTATCACTGCTTTGGTCTGAGCAAGCACAAATTACCAAATCACCATTATATAAAACCTACAAAATTTGGCTCATCTACTCCTTTGGCTGGCTAGAAGGTAGTGATAGCAGCAGAAAGCTACTGGGATTAAGTATAGGTTCATTCTCATTCCATTTTCAGATATACTTGTTAGCGGGTAATTTGCAAAACCATCCTCTATAGGAATTTTATTTCTCTACTGAAAAATATACTCTACCTCCCCAAATAAGGCTATGACTATTACTATGAATTGCAACAATTCCTAATTTAGAAAAGATGCATTCAACTGGATTAGTTTTTTCATGAGTAAATGTTGATGGTATGCAAAAAAAAAACACCCTGAAAATCCCAAAATATTTATAACATATGAGTTCACACTATAGTAAGAGGAGAACACAAGCATCACAAGTAAATCTTATCACCAAGGAGTTACAACTTTTAGACTCAGCACCCTCCCCTTCCCCTATGGAGAGAAGAAAAGGAATAACAAAAAAGAGAGAGCCAATACAAACTGATGAGCGTGAACAAGAAATTACTGAGAACATAATCATACATTTCAATTCTTAAACATTGTATAAAGTGAGGTCTTTTCATTTGTCTTTACAGAATTTAAGAGATATTCTTATCCCCATGACTGTTAATATTCACAAGAATGTATCTATAATAATTGAGAAATACTTGAAGGAAACTAAAAGGCACTATTACATCACTCCCAAAAGTTACTTGCAATTTATAAATACTTTTTCCACAATATTGAGGACCACAAAAGAGAAAATGCTGAGTGAAAGGTAAATACAGATGTGTGTATGAGTGTGTAAAACAGCACTACAAGAAATAGTGCTGTCTGGAAGGATACTACTTTATAGAAATTTTTCAGGTGGATTAAAACATTTAACAATTCAGTTATTTCATTAGCATCCTAAAACAGCAATAATTTTGTCAGCTGCAACCATTGGGTGAGTTAATACACTCTTCCTGAAAGAGGAGAATTTTTCCATGAAAAATTTCCAAGCAAATTTGAGTATTTCACTGCCAACAGATTCACGATAAGGTGAACTTTAGCCACAGTGTGTTTTGATTATTGTGCCATTCATTCTATGGTTAATGTATATATTATACATTAATCTGTAGTTAATATATAAGATTGTTGAGGAGTTATTTTGTCAAATATCATAGAAGCAATGGACTTAATATCAATAAACATTAATTTCACCGCATCAAAGGAATGATGGATGGGGCCATGTACCGTCATATCTTGCGTGAGAACCTTCCCTCAGCCAGGGCATTGAAAGAAGGTTGTGGATGGGTATTCCAGCATGTCAATGACCCAAAACACATGGCCAAGACACAAAGGAGTGGCTCAAGAAGAAGCACAGATCTAGCCAGTCTCCAGACCTTAATACCATAGGATTAAAATCTGTGAAGGGAGCTGAAGTTTTGAGCTGAGCTGCCAAATATCAGCCTCGAAACCTTAAGACTTAGTGAGATGATCTTCAAAGTGGAGTGGGACAAAATCCCTCCTGAGATGTGTACAAACCTGGTGCCCAACTGCAAGAAACATCTGACCTCTCTGATTGCCAACAAGGGTTTGCCACAAAGTACTAAGTCACGTTTTGCAAAAGGGTAAAATACTTATTTCACTCATTAAAATGCAAATCAATTTATAAGTTTTTTGAAATGCATTTCCAGAGTTTTTTTGTTCTTATTCTGTCTCTCGCTGTTAAAATAAATCTACCATTAAAATTATAAGCTGATCATTTCTTTTTAGTGCACAAACATACAAAATCAGCAGTGGATCAAATACTTTTTCCCTCACTGTATATGTGTGTGGGGGTGTACACACATATGAATCACTGTCCATTTTGAATACTGTCCATTTTGAATACATAATGGAAAGAAGTAAGTTGAATTAATATACTACTGTATGTGACTATGGCCTATGGTATAAGTAGATTTTAATTCTTGTTTTTTATTTTAGAGCTTGCTATCATTCTGGCCTGACAAAAATCTTGGATGCAACTTCACAGATTACAAATATGCAAGATGAATTACTTGTCCTTGGACCTCAAATAGAATCAAAATCAAAGGTATATTTAATTTGTATGCTTCCCACGCCTAACATATTGAATAATTTCTTATCAGATCTCAAGACATTAAAATTAATAAAATCTATTGACAGTGGTATAATTGTTTTATAAAAGTTAGAACAGTATAACTATTATGTGAATTCAGTTTAGGGTGCATTAGATATTTTGGTAAAAGAAAGAAAAAGACTAAAGGAACCTAGGTTGGTGTAAAAGAAATAACATTTGGAATCCATTTATGATAATACTATGTAGTGGAACAGCTGATTCCATAATGTAGAAGTTTGGAAATCTCAAATATCTTCTCTCAGAGGGCCTCATGGTCTTCACATACTGTTTCTTCCTTCTGCTCTATTGTATTGCATTTGCTCATCTATTCCTACAGCTATCATCTATCATTTAGGAGTTGCCTTCCACAGCAGATTCTCCGTAGCCACATTTATTCATCTATTTATTTAGTTATGATACTTACCTAGCTGCCCATCTACCAGAAGGAACTCTGAGTGTTCAACAGAATAACCACACAGAACACTAAAAAGATCTTTAAAACAGTTTAAAGTGTCGAGACACTGAAAAGATTCATATTCAAAATAACTGTTTATAACAGGCAACTCAAAAGAAAAGTTTACTACAAATTGTTTTTTGGCAGGAGATGTTGCAATTGATATTTCAGACTAGGTTGCCTCCGCATGAATAGTATTGCTGACCTAGACTGTGCCTGTCTCCTCTCTGTTCTATTTGTCCTTGGATCAGGAAGAGGTGTGGACTCTACCTCCACCTCATTGATAATAAGTGCCAGCTATTCTTAATCCTCACCTGGAGCTTCCTGGCCAACTTGCTGCAGCTGTGGCTTGCCTCCCACAGCTTCAGTCTGTCACTTGTCTGATCCACCCAGCTGAGGCTGCTCCATCAGGCTAGCTTTCTTTATTGAAATTCAATAAAGTTATAAAAATAAATTAAAATGCAGAAATTCAGTAAAATTAAGATGAGTCCAGATGTGTAAAATAAAATTATGTCTACAATAAGAATCCAATTGGTTTTTGTATGAAATAGTATTTAAAGATTTAGTGAAAAGACTAAATAAATATTCCTTAGATTAAGTGCTCCCTCTTGTGGCAACAAATATAATAGGTTCAGAAAGATTCTGCAAAGCAATCTAGAATGAATAATATCCACAGAAGTAAAATATGGAGTTAAATATAAGATAGTATGTAATCTGAGCAAATGTAAGATACAACAAAATAATTGATGAAACATGTTAAAATAATTCTATACTCAATCACCACCAAGTTAGTATAGTCAAATATTTGCATAATTATTTAAGTCAGGAAAAGGAAATAACTACAACTATGATAGTTGGTCTAAACTTTTTTTTAGCCAGTCTCAGTTTCTCATTTGCACATAAATGTAAGCTAATATATATATAATTCCCATTTAAACTATTCCTTGAGTTTTATTGACTTTTATAAACTGTAAAAGACCAAAACAATGGGGAGAAAAAGATAAAGTCTGTTTGTAGAGCCAGTAAAGCTGCTGTAGATCATAAATTGTAAATATTAAGCCACTAAATTCCAAAGTTGGGGAAAAGGCATGGTGTAAAAAGAAGTTAATTTTTACTGAGAAAATATAATGTAATAATAGCAGCAATAGCAATAGCAGTAGACTTATATACCGCTTCATAGGCCTTTCAGGCCTCTCTAAGCGGTTTACAGAGAGTCAGCATATTGCCCCCAACAATCTGGGTCCTCATTTTACCCACCTCGGAAGGATGGAAGGCTGAGTCAACCCTGAGCCGGTGAGATTTGAACCGCTGACCTGCTGATCTAGCAGTAGCCTGCAGTGCTGCATTTAACCACTGCGCCACCTTGGCTCAATATAAGATATAGTAAAACTCATATGTTTTTGTTTGGTGGCTTCTTGGGACCTTCTTGGGACTCCTATGGTCATCTGTAGAGAAGGATGTAAATTTTCTTGAATTTTCTTTATAAATCCATCAGTTCCACTACCTCTAAGGTGCCCCTAATTGATTTTTTTTCTTCTGTCTTATACTCCTAACTGTTAGCTAAGAACACTCATTACATAATTAGGGTACTAAGATAAAGATAACAGGACCCGGATTGTTGTTGGGGGCAATATGCTGACTCTGTAAACCGCTTAGAGAGGGCTGAAAGCCCTATGAAGCGGTATATAAGTCTAACTGCTATTGCTATTGCTATAACAAACTTTCTCTCTAGAGAAAGTTCCATTCCCTCTTTAGGGAGCTACCACAGAATCCAATCTTGACTTTAAAAAAAACCCCTACAGACAGCATTAATATAATTTTTGGAATTAATTTACATATCTGACAGTTGTGAAGGCTATACTCTTCTGTCATATTTTGCTTCTGGGTTTCTAATTTGAGCTAAGTAAGCCTTGAATTTCATTGAGAGCCATGCTAGACTGGGTCAAAGACCATATTTTGTTCCTACAATGACCAGTCAGAACTCAATGGGAAGTTCAGTAGCATATTCCATTTGTTGTCTAGCAACTATCATTAAGAAGCATACTACTAATGATACTACTACTGACAGCCATCATGACAATTGTCACTGAGAGCTATATCCTCCATGAATTTGTCTATTATCTTTTACAGCTATCCAGTTATGGTTATTGCGTGCTATATTTCCTCTTATCTGTCTTGCATCTCTTAACTTCAGTTTTTCTGAACCACTTTTTTCATATCATGTAAACATTGACCCCATCCCTACCCCCTGCATTGTGCATTAGTTAAAAATCCTAATGTTCCCTCACAGGGAAGACAACAATAATAAAATGGAGATAAATTATGAATATTATTATTTCTTATTTTTCCAAATGAGGACCATTCTGAGGATGAGCACTTGGAAAGCTATACAGAGAATGATTATTTAATATCTAATTTTTCTTCTGAAATTGTACATTAGCTATAATATATGATATCATTCCAATCAGCTAAGATCTCTTTCTCTAGTATAAATTCCTGACAATGAAGATGGAGAGTAAAACTAGAGGTGTTCCCACTGCCACAGTGTAGGGCTCCAAAGTGTAATGTTTAATTATACTATATTAACTATGAGATTTATAAACTGCCACACTGTAGAGGTTCTAGGCTGTATTTGAAATAGGAAAAGTTGATGCTGAATTAATACCAATATTAGTTTGTTGGTAGAACACAGCATTGAGGCAGTTATTGATTCCAATACAGTAATTTCTAGAATATATAGACAGTTATTGATTTTCATATAGTAATTTCTAGTATATATGGCCATAAAACATAGTGATAGAGATTAATTTGATAACTTTTTAAGAATATATATAAATGATAGATTTATTATTTTATTCCACAATAAGGCAATGTGCATAAAAAGGGGTCCAATGATAGAAAGTTTATTCTAATTATACCCAAAAAAAATTGTGAAGAAGGGGTGTGGTTAAGAAGTGTAATAAAAAATAAACAAATCTTGTAGCCATCCATTGCTGAAACATTGAGCTGAAATAAAAATCTTTTGATCTGACCCATAAGAAAATCCTCATTTTCTTATATCTTCATAAAAATGGAAACTTGGAAAGTAGTTTGTAGGATTTATGTTGCTAAAGGTTTAGAGTCATGATTTTTTTCTGAGAGTACTATAAAATATTTGACTATTTTCTCATTAGGAAATAGAAGCACTTGTAGCTAAACTTCACAAAGATGCCTCAGTTGTAGAGCAAGTTCGAACTTTGGTTAAAAAGGATGAAGAAACTATGACTGCAGAAACTAAAATTGTGGAAGGGTATGCTAAGGTACACAGTTTTCAAAGTTTCTTCTTTTGATGATGTCATAACAAGCATTGCAAACAAATGTAATTTTCCTCCCAAAAAGCTAGGGCTACTATGTATGGAGTGCAAAAATCTGGAGGACCTCCACAGGTCAGCAAGAGATTATTTTTTCTATTAAAAAGACTCATGTTTGTTTTGAACAATTTTGTATATAAAAATAGTATTTGTACATGTATAACCTGTGAACAAAAAGTGACACTCTACCCTTTCTTCATTTTTGTAGCAAGTAACAGAAGAACTCAATTCTGTATTGCCATCTTTGGAGAAGGCCCTTAGTGCTCTTGATGCACTTGACAAAAATCATATTGCAGAAGTTAGGTAAATATATTGCTTATTTCCAAGGATTTCTAAGCTGAGGATTTCTTGTTATCAAAAGGAAATAATTTAGTGAACACAATATTCATTAGTCATATCAAGTTTACTTATCCCGATTCTTGCTAATGTAAGAAATTATTAGCAGGAATAGTAAGATACAGCCAAAGCAATATATTTCTCAATAGAAAATTGCTCATGGAATGTTTCATATTATTTCTCATTTTTATATTAAACTGCAATCTCCAAGGTCAGAAATATGCATTACATTCTTTGGGTAGATTAGCATGTTCAGTATTTTCATGTTGAGCATTAAAATTACTGTACCTTGATAACTGAACGTGAATCAGGTTGTTTTGACAAAAAAATGATTTTGAATGTAATATATTTTATGCTCTTTTTCTGTATAACTCAGAGTATATACTCATCCTCCTCCACTTGTTTTAACTGTTATGAATGCCGTCTGTATTCTTCTTGAAAAGAAACCAAACTGGGCAACAGCAAAATTACTACTTTCAGATCCAGGATTCCTTAAAAAATTGGTTACAATTGACAAAGATAATTTACCAGAAAAGGTAAAAGAATTAATTTGCAAATAGATTGAATGGGGGGTTTTTTTTGTTTTTTGTTTTAGATATATATATAAATCTTCAAATAAGAGATTTAAAAAATGAAACACATTTCCTGGAGTCTGGCTTGGAGTTTCATTGCCACCAGAATCTGACTATTTTTTCCCTTACTAGATTGTAAGGTATCTTTTGGAAGAAACAGATATGAATAGTACATTGCAGTCAAATTTCCTCTAATCCTGCAAAGTTTGGTTTAATCTTTCACAGTCTTAATTATCTTGTGAAAAACTGGCTCCTGGTCCATTTACATTGCTTTTTTATTCATCACAGGACAGCTGTTTTTCATTCCCCTATGTAAATTAAGTTGGTGGGAGTTTGAGACAAAAGCCTCAGTGGTAGAATTCTAGTTCATATTTATATCTATAGTTCATATCTAATGAACTATCTCTGATAGCTTTTACATAGATAGTAAGATATTTTACTTTGATTGATTAATTTGAATATTGAAAATAAACCATTATTTGTTTTTGTGACTTTAATCTTTATTGAAATATTATTCATAGTCTTTTTTTGCTTCTCTTCCCTTTTTCTTTTGTTGTTGTTTGAAGATATACTATTCTCTTTATATTGTTGTGCAGTTTATAATTTCCTTTTCTTGATAAATTCAGTCCAATGGAATTATTTTAAAAAAACAAATAAATAGATATTAGTTATTGATTGAAGATATGGAAGAATTTTACATGTATTTGTTACACTTGTCATTTTATTATTTATTTATTTATAATTAATCATTTTGTATTCATTTTAGGTTTTTCTGCAGTTAAAAAAATATGTGAGGTCACCTGATTTCAGCCCAGTGAAAGTAGGACTTGTGTCTGTTGCATGTTGCTCCATATGCCAGTGGATTTTAGCTCTGGATCACTATCATATTGTTAAAAGGGTACATTTACATAGGTTATTTTCAATAGTTTTTAAAACAATCCATCATATTTGACATATTGTATTTATAAGGGGAAATGATTCTACCTAATTCTGGAATATGTTGCTGATTTCTGTTAAAGGCATTTTATTTAGAATTGTCAGAGGTAAAAAAAACTCAAATTGTCTTCTTATTTTCTATTTACTTTTCTGCTATTTTAATTTTCTACCATAAAACAAATGTAGAAATATACCTGGATTCAGGCAGCTCAGTGAAGGAATGCCTGGAAGAAGATCTGAAATATACAGCAATCCTAATTTAATATTTTATTAAACAACTAATTGAATTGTTTTTCTCATTATCTCCATTTCTCACCACCAGAAGATAGTTTAAAGTAATCTTCTAGTCTCTAGAAGATTGGTCTGACAAGAAATGGGTCAACTTATCTTTTCATTAAGAAAATAGTGTTAAAAGTAACTTTTCTCCTGTTTCAAGAGATTCAAACATGTCACTTTCATTTGTATGTCACTGCAACTATTAAAAATATTTAGTTGGTAATATCAATACAAGTAGTCCCTGACTTATGACCATAATGAAGCCCAGAGTTATCATCATGAGTTGGAAATAAACACTGGAAACTGGCAAAAAAATGTTATAAAGTGTTTGCAGGATGCTGCAAACAGCTGTAAAGGTGAGTTGGTTGTAAAGCACCCAAAATGTGCTCACATGACCATGTTTTGTGTGTGTGTGTCTATTGTAACTTCAAAATCAGATCATTAATGCTTTTTGCAAGTCTGTCATAACTTCGAACAGTCGCTAAGTGACTGGCCATAAGTTAAGGACTCCCTGTATGTTCTTCTCTTCCAATCCTTGTGGAAAAGGCTCTCTGGCATCACTTCAAGATTCAAGAGAACAGGAGCTGATCTTGATACCTCCCTTAAAATAATTACATAGAATCTCTTACTTCTCTAATTTTCCATCTCCTATCTGGATTTCTTCCCCCTAGTTTTCAAGGGCATTTCCCCTTTGCTTCTGTCCTGTCCCTTCAGGATTGTTATGAGGAGGATCGCAGGAGGAGAATAAAAAGAAAGGTTGTGGAAGAGTTTCCAAGACTAAAAGGTCATTTTACCCTCAGGGGAAAAAACCACCTTCCAAATCTTCCTTTTTGAAGCTCAACTGTAAAGAATACTTACCTACTAGCTTAATATTCCAAAACCATTTCTAAAGCAATCCTAAAAAAATTCCTTATAGATTTTCCTAAGTTTAAGGAAGGAAAACTGGTCTGTCCTTCCTAACCCATTTGGACCTAGAGAATAGGTAGAGAATACAATGTAGAGAATACAATGTTACTCAGATGATATGGGTGGTGTAGAAATTTGATAAATAAATAAATAGAAGATGTCCTTGAAGGACCAAGGAAAGTTTCATTAGCAAGGCAATGATCAGATAAATTATACAAGAGGAAAAGAACCACATTCAGACTTGCAAGATACTGTTACCATAGCTATTCTAATAAAAGTAGCTTTAGGTTTATACATTGTCTGTTTCTTAGTCTGGTCTACCTTCTAGGACTGACACTAGTTAATCAAAGTCTTTCCTCCGGGACAAGTTGGTAAATGATGTAATGACTGATCACAATTTCAGATTTGTGGGAAGGGAGAAGGAGTTCTGAAATAGGACAGCTTCACTTTTGGCCCCTATTCCATAATCAAAAATGACATAAGTTGTTCTGAATTAGTCTTGGTTCCCATGTCCAATAGGCATAGTTGAGGATTGGACAGATGAAACCACTCTGGATGCTCTGTGCAGATGAGTAAAATCTAGACAGACTTTCAGTATCATTCATATTCTTTTGATTCAGAAGAATCAGAATATTACCACTCAGAGATGAGAAACACTCATTATATTATGAGCAATGTGAAATGATTAGGATTCCTACTACATGACAGATGATATACATTTGCTATTCAAAGCTACCCCAGAACTTGTGCTTTTACTAAGGCTAATGAATAGTGAAATTGTGTTACCAATAACTGTATTAACACATTATCATTACATTACAAATTTGCAGAGAAATATAAATAGCCAAATTATAACTGATGTTCATCATAGAAAGTTATGATTATTTGGTCAATTTGCTCATGTTGTCATATCATCAGATTGTGAATTTCTCCAAGATGCATCACTGGCTAGTGATCAGGACAGGAGAACATGCAATATAAAGATGTCACAATACAAATATGGTAGAAAATTAAACAGAAGACTAGAAAGAAGTTCTCATAGAGATGCTGCTTTCAAGAAAATCTCTCAAATGCAGTTAGAAATATCAATATAATGATTACTAGTTGGTCATATGTAAATAAGTGTCTATATCAAGACATTAGTGACATTTATTTCATTTTCCTCTAAAGTATTAACTATCAATTTCATATTAAATTGTAAATATATCTTGTTTTTTTTAGTTTGTAGATCCAAAGCAAGCAAAGGTAGCAGAAGCAGAGGAATTACTGAACCGTGCACTTAGTAAATTAGCTGAAAAACAAAGATGTTTAGCCCTGGTAAAATAGATGTGTTTAACATATGCCATCATATTTACATAATTTGTTAAATAATAGAAAATGCATATGCATCTAAGTAATCCATATTGTTTTAATATCAATATTTCATTTCATGAAGATAAAGTCATCTTTATTAGCTAGAATAATATATTATCTCTCAGTGTTTCTATATTGTATATTAATCACATTGTAGCTCTAAATGACATTTTCTCTCACTATTGTACTTAAAAGTGTTTCAGTCTGAGTAGAGAGAGTGAAGAAGAAATAGTGATGGAAATAGTTTGTTTCTAGAATTATCTAAGAATCCTAAATTATCCTAAATAGTTTATAATACGTTCTTTTCAATGATCTCTGTACTTCACTTAAATTAATTCTGCACTTGCACTGAGTCATTCAGAAAATGTTGTAGAGCTGAGCTTTTTCGTGGGAGATAGTGCTTCCTATTTCCTTTCGCTGCCACAGCAACAGAATTGCTTGGTGCATGGTGCATTCTGACATCTGTTCAGAGCTACTTTTATTCATGGCCTTCTTTTTGTTCAACACCAACCATTTGGATTCCTCATTTTTACATACCTTCTTCACTTTAATTTCATTTATCCTAATCTAAAATGTTAATTTCATGAAGTCTAGTCCCATGTTAAGCACAAAAAAACAACTGGGTGACTTTGGGCTAGGCAGTCTCTCAGCCCTTGGGTAGAATTCAGTGACAAATCACTTCTGAAATCGTGCCAAGAATAGCCTCCAGGTAGCCATCTGGAGTCAATGGTCACTCAAAGGCACACAAAAAAAGAAACAATATATAAAACTATAAATATTTAATGTTATATTTCATTATCTCAATAAACAAATAAATTAGTCTTTGCTAATATTGAGACTAAAATAGACAGGGTATTAATGCTTCTTGTTCCTTATCCTTTGCTTAATTGGCAAATATCTGACTTTTTGGAGGCTGACATTTACAAAGCTCCTAGGACAAACACTGCCACTTTTTAGTCAACTTCAGAAAAAGTTCTTGTAAAAGGCAGTGTCAAGACACTTATGTATTATTCCCAAGTAAAAGCGTCTCTGTAGATGATCATCATTTTGCCAAATCATGACTTTTTTTCATTACCTCCATACATCTACATGATTAGTATTCATGTCATCAACTGTCTGTTTTATGCTGTACTCCATATTTTTTCATTATATAGTGTATTATGATTGTTTTGATATAACATGATTATGAATACAATCTTATTTTCCTCTCTATAAAATGGTATCATATCACTTGCAATTCCTATTCCTTTAGGTCATTCTTGGATGCTTTTTCATGTAATCTTAGAAGCAAACTTTCATCCTTTTCACTACAAAAAAAACTCTGAGTAGAATAATCAGTTGTCAACTTGATTGATGGAGGGAAGCCCGCTAGTGAAAACTCCTTCTTTACCATATTGATAGTTCCAGCAATTAGAATCATAGAGGAATACATATATGCTGTGTGCACTCACATATTAAGCTCCATGTGAATTAACTTGCCAATTAATTCAGGTTTAAAATGAATTCTAAAATAGACTTCTAGCTCTCAGCTAGAAGTTAAGAGTTCAGAGAAAAATGTTCATTTGGTAAGGTTGTGTTAGATTATCATTTAGAATGGGAAATTACTTGCAAAATAATGCAAATGATGCATAAGGGTAAAGTTGGGGAAACAAAGTTGCTTGTCTGTTCTGATAAAGCATGGGTGAGATTCCTTCTGTTTTTAAGTGATTAGAAAAGGAGACAAATTGATAACTGATAAAAGGGGGGGAAAGTAATAATAAAAAGTTAAAGTAAAAAAGTTCTTCAGCATATTGTTAGAGGTGGGTCTCTATTCAAATTGCACAGTTGATTACTAAAAATACTATAGCTATAGTTAAGCAAGCAGTCTTTATACACATCCTGCTGAATCTGCTCAGAAAACTCATGCATAATAATGTTTAAGTGGGCATAGTTTTGTTCAGAGTCTGTATAGTAGCCCTGTAAAAGCCTCATAGTAGATATTATTGAGTTTCTTTTTAAAAAATTATAAAAACATAGCAAGTAATACTGGTTCAGTAGTGTTTTTAAGTAGATTTTCTCATTTGAATTTTAATTTTTTTTGACATTTTCAGATTGAACAACATCAACAAAATTTAGAAGCATTGTATGATGAAAGTATTGCTGAACAGGAAAAACTTGCAGCCCGAAAAATTCAAACAACTCGTCGTTTACATAGTGCATCTATATTAAGTGTAGCTCTAAAGAATGAAATGGTATTATCTTTTTAATCTGCTCTAATGCTTAAGTTCAAGTTTCATTCTTTATATTTTCAACTGCTTTTTCTCATTGAACCTTTCCCACGTTATATAATTAAGTGATGGGTCATATTCAGGGGTGGGTTTCAATTTTTTTTACTACTGGTTCTGTGGGTGTGGTTTGTTTGGTGGGTGTGGCTTGATGGTCATGTGATGGTGGGCATGGCTTATTGGACATGTGACTGGACAGGCATAGCTGGTTAGTCATGTGACTGTGTGGACATAATTATGTGACTGGGTGGACGTGGCCAACTTGACCTCACTCACGTCAAGGGGTGCCTTACCTGGCCTCTCCTCGCCTCAAAGGCCTCAATGAGATACAATTTTTCTGTCTATTTATTTACTACTAAACACCCAAAATGTACTATTTAATCCTATGTATATATGCCATAAGTCTACATACATATTACATAGTATAGGCACACAAAAAGGTACATTATCTACTATATATACTGTATGTGTATGTACACACACAAACACACACACAATAGGTACACAATATTTGCCATAACTTCTCATATCTGGTAAAGAAGTCCATTGCACACAGAAAATGTTGACACTATTTTTATTTACTATTTAAACTGTGGAAATTTGGATAACACCAATAGACATCAGAGGAAAAGGAGGACAAGGAGGCGGTTTGCCAGTTTTAGATAGATTTGAGCCAAATATGACAAAATAATCCAGATGATATAGAATAGAATAGAATAGAATAGAATAGAATACAATTCTTTATTGGCCAAGCATGATTGGACACACAAAGAATATGCTCTCAGTGTACATAAAAAGGCTTCCCAATATAAGGTTTCCTGCTGGGGTGGGGGGTTGGACTAGATGACCTCTGAGATCCCTTCCAGCCTTAGATTGCTGTGCTGTTTCAAAGCGTCTTCTGAAGCCACGTCTAGTGCCAAGATTAGCGATCCTTCCTTCCTCTCCCTCTCCCTCTCTCCCTCCCACCTTCTCTCTCTGTCCCTCTTCCCCTTTTTCTTCTCTCTCTTTCTCTCACATTTTAGGAATCATCTAAAGGACCTCTAGAAGTCTTGTTCAAAACTGATTGTACTCTGTGACAAAAGCTTTAGCTTGGATTCATTAACTTGACTATAAATGATCCCATTTAGATAATTTAGGGTTTTTTTAAGAATGTGGAAATGAGCAAAATAACATAGTACAAAAAGAAAGAAAGAGAAAGAAAGAAAGAAAGAAAGAGGGTGTTTAGTTCTTAATATTTGAATTTATATTCTTAATAAACATACTAGTAATAATGTATTAGAATATTTCCTTTCTCCCTCCCTCCTCTCTTCCTTAAAATCTATTTCTTAAAAATTGTTTAGGGACACATGCAATCCTTCCTTCCTTCCTTTCCTCCCTCCCTCCCTCCCTCCTCCTCCCTCTTTCTCTTCTGCAATTAAAAACCTCCTTCCAAGGTTTCAATTTAAAGTAGGGGTCTCCAAAGTTTGCAACATTAAGACTTGTGGACTTTAACTCCCAGAATTCCACAGCCAGCCATGCTGCTTTTGAGACTCCTGATTTAAAGCTACAGCATTTGTTTTTCTTTGCCAAGCGAACTCCTGGCTGAAAAGTGAGTCCTGTTTTTTTCCTTCTAACACTTCCCTCTTTCTTTCTTTCTTTCTTTCTTTCTTTCTTTCTTTCTTTCTTTTTCTTTCTTTCTCCCTCTCTCCCCTCCTCTGTTTTAGGCAAACCTGCAGGGGAAAACAACTTTAAAAAGTAAAAAAAAAAGCTCCTGTGGATTGCGCGCCTCAAGCCTTTTTTCCCTGCTGGTTCAGGCAAACCAGTTCAGGCATTTCATCCCTGCCTGGAACGCAATAAAGCTCACCCCTGACTCCTGCTGGCAGGCTAACTAATGAGGTGACTCGGAGAAGCTGGAGGGGAGCCGATCGGAGCCCTCCAAAAGAAAGAGGCTGAGGGAAAGAGCATGTACTACAGCATGCATCCCTCCTCCCATGGTCTCCTCAGTTCTTGCTTGTGCACCCCCTCCCCAGTCTAGCTTGATTGCAGGTGGAGCCACATTGCCTTTTACAAGGCTGCTGTCAGTGAAGCTGGGTACCGGTGAGGACTGGCTTTTTGCATAGCTTTGTGCAGCTGTTGGGGAGGGAGGAATGGCTTCCACTCCAGGCCCAATCTATTCCCCCTCCTGACAACTGGACAAGGCAGGGGTGGGTTTGTGCCTGAAAATTTTTTTCCATGAAGATTGTTCTGCACATACACAGAAGAATCTTCATTAAAGAAAATAAAGATAGCGGTGCCCAGTATAGAGCCAAACCAGTCCAAATAGGTAGGAACTCACCTTTGGTTATATTTTATATACAATTGTGATTTTCCTCACTATTCTTATCTGAGATTCCTATGTAACCAATGTACTGCTAATTTGAAAACAAATACATTTCAGCCTGTCTTCATTAATGATATAGCACCCATTTGGTAGCTGGGTGATGTTATGAGTTATTATTCAGGCATGATGTTTCACATACACTATATACTGATAATGTCTGACCTAGTAGGAATTTACCAAATAAATAGTCATGAGGTTGTGACAACGGCTTAATAACAACACAAGAAAGTGATGTGTTTTTCAAGTATCCAGTTTTAATGCCCTTGTAGTTATAGTTGGTGCTACTATACTCAGAATAATTTCTATAGTACTATGGTCATTGTGCATCAGGGGAAAAAACAGAGACAGAAAAATACGCAAAAAAATAATATCTAAAGTCTCTTCTTTATTTCCCTGTGAAGAAAGTCTAAAAAAGGGGCACATAATAGAGATATAATAGAATTATACATGGCATGGGAAAAGTTCACTCATTATACTAGAACAGAAAATATTCAATGATTTAGTGTGGTAAGAGGTTTCAGAGAGAACTACTTTCAATTCAGAATAGAGCTGGAAGACACTTTGGGGATCTCTAGTCAAAGACTCTATATCTGTGATGGTGAACCTATGGCACGTGTGCCACAGGTGGCACACAGAGCCATATTTAGTGGCACGCCAGCCGTCAGCTCTGGTGTGCATATTTTTTGCCCTTCCAGAGGGCCAGGGGATGCCGTTTTCAGGCCCAGGCTTCAGGAAAGCCTCCGGAGGCTGGGAAGGGTGAAAAACAGCCCCAACGGCCCAACTGGGAGTTCAGAAACGATCCATTACCAGCTTCCAGAGAGCCTCGAGGGGACAGGGGAGGCCATTTTTGCCATCCCCAGGCTTCAGGAAAGCCTCCGGAGGCTGGGAAGGGTGAAAAACAGCCCCAACGGCCCAACTGGGAGTTCAGAAACGATCCATTACCAGCTTCCAGAGAGCCTCGAGGGGACAGGGGAGGCCATTTTTGCCATCCCCAGGCTTCAGGAAAGCCTCCAGAGCCGGGGGAGAGGTTCTGTGCTCATGCACGGGGGGGTCGCGCACACATGGGCAGGTTCTGTCTTTGATTGGTTTCCGTCCATTGCTTCTTGTCCTGCCCTCTGGTGCTTTGGAAAACAAGTTGATCCCCTCTTCTTTTTGGCAGCCCCTCAGATATTGGAATTCTATCATCATGTCACCCCTAGTCCTTCTTTTCTCTAGATTAATCATACCCAGATCCTGCAATCATTCTTCATATATTTTAGTCTCCAGGCCTTTAATCACTTTAGTTGCTCTTCTCTTCTTTTTCTAAAGTCTGAACTTCTTTTTTTTGTCATGTGGTGACTAAAACTGAATGCAATATTCCAACGTGGTCTTACTAAGGTTTTATAAAGTGGTATTAATACATTGGATTTTGATTCATAAAGCATTGTAGAACTTGCTATGGCAAGAGTACTGATGGACATCAAATTGGATAGTTTTAAAAGAGTATGGTCACACTCATGGTGAATAAGTATTGCATATTGTAGCTACTTATTATGATGGCTACTTACTATTTTTCACTAGTAAAGGAATACCAGTGATCAGCAAATTGGTGTACTGCTTTTGAGCTCCTATTCACATCTAGTTCAGTAATAGTTTCCTCTTATTTTTGCTACCAGTTCGGAACCAGGAGCATGCAAGTGTGTGTGCTTGCTTCACTTGCACGTGGTGGGTCATTGTGATGACCTCTGGGTGTGTGGGTGGAGCCTCCTGCAGCCGCCATTACCAGTTCACCCAAACCAGGGCAAACTGGCAGAATACCTCCTCTGATCTCGTTGGAAGCCTTATAATCTTCTAATTGATATTTGGTTTGTATGGTGGATGAGATTTGGTTACCAGAACAGGCAAAGGAGGACATGGAATATTGGTAGTGATGACAATGATATTGTTGGGAGGATAAAATGTGTTACTGTTAGCCTCAGATACTAGGAAAATAAAATAAGCCCATTTTTTAAATAATAGAATGGAATTCCTTTAGAATAATTGGATGACTTTTAGAAGTTAATAGTCTGGTTTTCTTTGTTTCTGCTTTCCATTAATGTTTTCTTGATTAGATAGGGTAAGAATGCACTGTCTCACAACATTTCTGAACCTACTTATGGCACTTTCAGGAGTGGGCAACACAAAACTCCTGACTTTTGACTTCTCATTTAATTATGAGTTCTATACCATATAAGTTAAGCAAACTAGGAAGACTAATATTCAAATTTATGATACATAGCTATGTATTTTTCTTCCTTAGGAACGCTGGAAAGAATCTGTTAATAACCTCGATCAAAGATTGCAAGGAATTGTAGGTGATGTCCTTATATCAGCAGCTTGTATTGTCTACAGTGGAATTTTATCAGCGGGGTATCGTCAACAGCTAGTTGATGACAGTTTGAAACTCTGCAGTGATAACAATATTTTGGTCTCTCCAAATTACTCATTGGTTAACTGCATGACAGAAAAGAATGAGGTAGCAACACAGAGAAAAAATAAGAATGAAATTGTTTTATTTATAATTTTATCTAAAACTGTTCTCAAATTTAACATTTCTTTCTCAGATTACACTTTCTATCAGTTAAAAAAATTAATAAATAATTGTAATATTTATTAGAATTTCTTTGAGAAAATATATTTTATGATTTACAGAATTGTTCATTATTTCCATAATTAGTGAATAGGGGGAGAGGGGTGAATATCATAGGCAAGATTATAAATCTATAAAATCATTTTATAGGTCCGCAGATGGCAAAATGCAGGCTTGCCACATGATCAATACACCACAGAAAATGCAATACTTGTTAAACATGGACAACGGTGGCCTTTACTAATTGATCCAGAAAGGCAAGCTTACAAATGGATATGTCAAATGGAAGGCAGCAAATTGCGACAAACCAATGCTTCAGATGCCAAATACTTAATAACAATTGAATATGCTTTACAGTTTGGTGAATCAGTCCTTCTGCAGGTAATTCAACTTTAACAGACAGCACATCCAACATACAAATGAAGAAAAATGTAATGCAATCAGTGCAAAAGATGAGCACCTACACTATAACATAAGAGGTTTTGAAGAACTACAATTCCCTATTTACTATTAAAAGACTTTTTTTTAAAAATAGACAGGCCTTATTTTACTAATTATTATTGGAGATAAATTAAAAGTTAGAATTATGAAAACTATTAAACTCCAGGCTTCAAAGTGGTATAGGCAAGATCCTTCTTTCCAGGGTACTTTCCAGAATTCTTTCCTCCTTTCCAGGGTTCTTTCCAGGAAAGAATATATATTTGTTTAACGAATTTATAAGGCTGCCCATTTATTAAAAGGAACTCTGGATAACAACAAAAATAAAAACATAATATAATTATTTTTTTAAAAGCAAGAGACAGAGACAAAGAAAGTTAGGTTCTGGTAAAATTCATAACCATAAATCAACCACACTATGCCAGCTCCATTAATATCTTGGTCTCAGTCAACAGGATGAAAGCTACGTCTTCACTGCTTTCCTGAAAGAATAGAATAGAATAGAATAGAATTCTTTATTGGTCAAGTTTGATTGAACACACAACGAATTTGTTTTCAATACATAAGCTCTGAGTGTACATAAAAGCTATGAGTGATAAATCTTGATCATAGTCATCATAAAATCATCATAAATCATAAGATACAACACTTAATGATAGTCATAGGATACTAAATAAACAATATAAATCATTCTAGGAAACTAAATAAACAAAATAAATTGTAAAGATACAAGCAACAAACTTATAAGTAGAAAAGGAGATAGGTAATAGGAAAGATGAGAAGAATAATACAGTCTTACTAAATAGTTTGACAATGTTGTGGGAATTAGCAGAGTGATGGAATGGGGGGGGGGGGAATTGTCTTTATGTGTAGTTGTTCTGATGTGCAATGCCCTATAGTATCATTTTGAGGGTAGAAATTGAAACAATTTATGTCCAGAATGTGAGGAGTCTGTAGATATTTTCACAGCTCTCTTTTTGATTCATGCAATATACAGAACCTCAATGGAAGGGAGGTTGGCAGCAATTGTTTTTTCTGCAGTTCTAATTATCTGTTGAAGTCTGTGTGTGTCTTGTTTGGTTGCAGAGCCAAAGCAGACAGTTATAGAGGTGCAGATGAGAGACTCAATAATTCCTCTGTAGAACTCTTAAGCTTTCCGAATTGTTGTAGAAAGCACATTGTTTGTTGTGCTTTTTTTGATGACATTTTTGATGTTAGAGGTCCATTTTAAGTCTTGAGATATTATAGAACCTAGAAACTTGAAGATCTCAGATCTGCTGTTGATACTATGTTGTCTAGTATTGTAAGAGATGATCGTATAGGAGGGTTTTTCCTAAAGTCTACCATCATTTCTATGGTTTTGAGTGTGCTTAGTTCACGATTGTTCCGGTCGTAGCACTGCTAGTTGTTCAATCTCCCATCTGTATGCAGATTCATCATTGTCTTGAATGAGACCAATCACTATTGTATCATCTGCAAACTTCAGTACTTTAATAGAGGGATCTTTTGAGATGCAGTCATTGGTATAGAGAGAGAAGAGGAGAAAGCACACACACACACCCCGGGGGGGGGGGGCTGTGATAATTGTACATGTATCTGATGTGATTTTGCCTAGCTTCATCTGCTGCTTCCTGTCTGTTAGAAAGCTTATGATCCACTTACAAGTGTGGTCAGGCAGTGCTAGCTGTTTTAATTTAGTTAGAAGAATATCTGTAATGATGATATTGAATGCCGAGCTGAAGTCTACAGAGAGGACCCTTGCATAGGTCTTTGGAGATACAAGATGTTGTAGGCTGTAGCGCAGAGCAATATTAATAGCATCATCTGCCGATCTATTTGCTTGGTAGGCAAACTGCAACGGGTCTCACAATGGATCCGTGATGGTTTTCAGGTGGGCAAGCACTACCCTTTCAAAGGTTTTCATAAATATGGATATCAGAGCAACCGGTCTGAAGTCCTTCAGTTCTTTGATGGAGAGTTATAGCAATAGCAATAGCAGTAGACTTATATACCGCTTCATAGGCCTTTCAGGCCTCTCTAAGCGGTTTACAGAGAGTCAGCATATTGCCCCCAACAATCTGGGTCCTCAGAGTTTCTTCAGCATTGGGAAGATAGCAGAGTGTTTGAAGCAAGAAGGAACATAGCAATCTCTAGTGATTTATTAAAAATGTAGGTGAAGATGGGGGCCAGTTGATCAGCACAATGTTTTAAGTAAGAAGGAGTTATCTTGTCTGGGCCTGGTAGTTTTCCTGGCTTTTGTCTGTGGAATAGACCTTGCACATCATTTTCTGTAATCACCAGAGGTGGGGGGCCCAAAGGGATGGGGTCAGTTGTAGGATCGGTCTCCTCTGTATCATGAAGTAGAAATATACAACTAAGTATGATATACTCTAGAGCAAGACCTTTCTTTCCCTACCACTAACAAGTGGGCATTGGCAGAAAGAACGGCTGAAGAACTGAATCTCTACACCATCCTCCATAGCTAACCCAAAAGAAAATCATGATCAACAGCATCTTAGGAAAGTCAGGATTAATACATTATCCTCATCCTAAGGTGCGGATACTCGTCAATGGTATCTTAGTATGATATCCTGATCTGAAGCTGACTCTAATGGATCCAGATAATCTGCTGCCTTCAAAAGTCTTTCAAGTTATAGAAATACAATTTACTAAATAATCTTCCTCAAAAAAGAAAGATCAGAGATTAGACCCACATAGCCAAAGTTTAATTCTGAGCAATTCCAAATCTGACAGATGCTTCATGTAATCCTCACAGTAGCTCTGCAAAGGTTCTTGTAACCCCCCTCTATACAAACATAATGAGGTCCAATACATTCTAACAATTATTGATTGTAGTATAAGTTTAAGGTCCAGTGACACTCCAGGTATAGAAGTTAAGGCAATCTCCCATTGTCTAGGCAATATAGAAACCTCTAATTCTTTATTCCATTCATCCCTTACCATCTGCATATTAAATTGACTTATTGACAACAAACATTTATAGGAACTAATATTTTTTTTTTAGTTTTAAAAGATTTAAGCAGTTTTTCTAGCAACCTGGGTGTCTCAGAAGCAATGCAAACAATGTTGTTAGCAAATGTTGTAACTATAAATATTGCCAATGAATTATATTTGATAGATATTTGTCTCTTAGTACAGCATATGTTAAAAATTCATCCTCATCATCTTATCAATTGATCCAAAATCAATGTCCCCACTTTCACCCAATTTTTCCAAACCACCATCTTTCCCCCAATTTTTAATGTTGGATTTTTCCATAAAATCAATTTAGCATGGGGGAAAGTATTAAAAAAAAATAGATTTTAAATTCCATGGCTTTTTAATTGCTATAAATATTTAGGAGATATTAGAGCTCTATTATATTCAGATCTTAATATTGTCCATCCTATTAAAGGTGCTATAAATGTATATTTCAAAGTTGTCCAAATCAGAAAATTAACATCAACTGTTGGTTTTCAGTATTTAATACTTGACAATAGGCAAGCATGATGATAAAGCTCAGATTTGGAAAACCAAGTCCTACCTCTGAATGAGGGATCCTTAGTACAGATTGATTTTTTAAACATAGGATTAATTTTCAGCAATTTGCCTGAATTTCCTGACATATCTTAGTCTATTCAGCTGGGGACTTCTCCAAGAAACTTTTCCTTCAGTCGAGCAACAGGAAAATAGAAAAGAGTGAAGAACATACCTTATACAAATCCTAAAATACAGGGGATAGTTGTGCAACAAAGCAATTTCACACTTAAGGAATGCTTCAGTGAAAAATTAAGTTTTTAAATGATATAGCCAAATCTTTACATAGAGCTACTTCCCCTAGGAAAAGGGGAAGCAAGAAAATTAAATCATAGAATTAAAACTAAAAATTTAAATGTTGATCTCACTAAACTGTTTCTATATTGTCTCCTTGAATAAAATCTTGGATTTTAGAACACTCATTGCAAACAGAATGGTTAGGAGAGACTGCATCTAGCTTTTTGCTATGATGTAGTATGGACAGTCTTGATTCTTCTTCTCCTCGTATTGGACATTAACTTCATGGTTCTGTATAATGTAGTTTTAAGTGAAATCCTGATATCTTTTAGTTATTATTTGGATAATCAAATAAAACACTCCAACTCTAATAATGCAAGACAAGTTATCAAATCAGAAAATTAATTTATCATTGACATCACTTCCCTATCAATGTAATAGTTGAATAATAAAAACATTTCTAGTTTTCAGCTAAAGGCATTAAGAACTAATCTGGCTAGTGGTTAAGAGGTTAGACTCGAAATGGAGAATTAGATTTTAGTTCTGGTCCTGTTTTCAACTTTTATTTTCAAGTTGTAGTCCTCCTTAGGTACAAAAACCCAGCAGAGTTATTTTAGGCAAGTCACTCTCGTCCTCATGTTTGAAAATGTTGCCCCAAAATCCACATGTTCTATGTACCTGGCAAAAGCTAAGGAGGCTGGTTTGAAAGTATACCAACATGCGTATAGACATCATTGAAGAATTGCATGAGAAAGACAAAGTGAGTAATAAAATATGAATTCTTGTTCATTCATGCTTCTTATATTGTGATCAATTTATAATGTTTTGTGCATTGTTAAGCTGTAGCAATACATTAGTGTTCCTCACTCGAAGCAATTTCTTCATCAAAAAAGAGCAAAGCATAGAGTATCTTAATTACTGTAGGAAGTGCATTTTCCAAAGAACAGGAAAGTTACTTACTGTATGTAATATTGATTACAGTCTTGTGTTTTTTAGGATTTTCCTGAAACATTGGATTCAAATATAAAATCAATCTTAAGCAAGGATATCTACAAAAAAGGAGGACAAGAATTCATTAGAATAGCAGATTCTGAAATTCAGTACAATTCAGACTTTCGGTAATTGCTTGTATAAGTTGAATAACTTTAAGCCTGCATTTTATGTTCAACCTAATAAAAATTTGTACTTTGAAAGAAAGAAAAAGACTTCTAAATATTCCCAAGTCATGGGATATATTCAAACATTTGTTGGAGTTTATTCATGTGGATTATTTGCAAGCAAATTCCCAATAAGGGAATATAATGGCCACTAAGTAAAAATTATATTACTGCACTAATATTTGCACTATTATGACCAGAAATGCCTTGACCAGATTTTACTACTTTTTGAGGAATGTTATTATTTGAAAATTGTCTACTGCTAGATTAAAATTATTTTAAAAACAGTATCAAAGTATATAAAACCATGTGCACCACAGAAACCCATAATGAATTATGCACTATAAAATCCAGTGCAGTTCACAAGCAACAGAGCTACTAAAACTATCTAGCACCTTGGATTCTAGGAGAAAAGATGCTTCAGAGCATATGTGTATGCATGCATAGCATCAGTCAGTAGCTCTTTATACCTAATGCATATTTTCCCATGATTATGCATTTTATTATTATTTATGTGATTATGTTACAGAAGAAAATGAATCTGGGAAAAGATTCAGCTATTTTAAGGGATTAACAATCAATACTGTGTGAGCACTCCTGTACATTCCAAAGCACTTTTCTCTTCAGGCATCTAATAGCTACTTCAGTGGCCACTCATAGATTACTTCTCCCGTGAGAGTCATACTGCTGTGTTAGAACTAAGTATCAGTTGAGGATCATTAGATCATCTGAGCATACTTACCTGGGAATATTTGGCCCTAGTGCTTGCCTCTCCCTTTTATATTGAGTAATATAAAAATACAAAAGGGGTATTTTTCTTTACAATTAAACATAGGTTTATCAAATTTTGTGTTACTTTTGTCCTCTAAAATTGAAAACATACAGGATTTTTAGTCTGTCCAAAAATAGCAGGGTGAAAAAGAAACCTGTCCTTTCTTTGCAGCCCACAATTCATTTGTCCTCTATTCTTCTTCCAATAGAGAAGAAGTTAGAAAAAGTGTGGAAACTGATTCCACATCCCATATTCTCAAAAGTATATGCTTTAATTCTGTCCTGTTTTATAATAGGGCATATGAATATCTAATTAGTCAATAATTAATCAGTGAGGCAGAATGATCATGGGACTAGAAAATAAACATGAGGAGACGAGACATACAAAATGTACAGAATAAAAAGAAGAAACCAAGTAGGAAAGTGCCTGAAAAAATATTATTCAGAACACAGCCTAATTATTTCATCCAAGAATGTGTAAAATAATTGCTATGACTGAGAAAAAAGCAGATTGCAAATGCAATGTAAGAAAAATATTATTAGATAATTATTTTTACCTTGTTAGAAGTTCCTATTATTATATAAATTTATATCAGAGATACTTTAATTTAGACTTCTGTACACAGTCATGGTTTTTCCATTTTATACATTCAAAAAATCCCGTGCAGAGGATTTTTTCCTAATGGATATGAGTTATAATTAAAGATTATGACATAGATTGGTATTTTATATGAAAAACCTTTATGAAAGCTTTATAGATTGGTATTTTATATTGAAAACCTTTATAAATATTTTTGATTATTTCAGATTATACCTGACAACGCAGAAACCCAATCCTCATTTTCTGCCAGAAACATGCAATATTGTTACAATGATAAACTTCATTTTAACATTCCATGGTTTGCAAAATCAGCTTTTATCTGCAGTTGTAAATAAGGAAAAACCTGAACTTGAAAAACAGTACTGCAAGTTGATGGAAAGCATATCAATTGATCTGGTAGCACTACATGAATATGAACAAAGATCACTTCAACTTTTGCAAAAAACAACTGGTAAATAAAATTTTGAAAAACTTTGTATATTTTATATCATTTTGCAGAAAGTATAAAATGTTATTAAATAGAATTCAAAGGCCAAAAAACATTTTTTAATGTTTCATTATCTGTATACAAATGCACATAATCTTCATTTGAATAGTAGAAGTATAAAAGCTAATACTTCCCAACTCACATGTTCTTCAACTAATATTAACATAATTCTGCATCATACTAATTATAATTGAAGGACACCTTCTTACAATCATTTTCATTGCAATATTATGATTATCCCCAAATGCCTTCCTATAATTCTCTACAGTTTCTGTTATATAAATAATAATGAGTTAACATTGGTAAGTGGAATTTCCATGGCTAAGCAATGGAGTTGTAAAGCATGTAACTACATCATTTAGGGCTGGCAAACCTGAATTTCTGATTGCCATCCTTAAGCGAGGGTCACTGTAGTTGCTGTATCAATGAGATGAATGGCATAGAAATTGAATAAATAAATAACCACAGGTCATTAAGCAAGGACTTCCTCACACTTTCCTGCAGGCTTCCAACAAGCAAAATCCCAGGGTCCAGAAGGGTGCACAAGGGACTGGCATTGCATGAGCATGGCATGTCTTATGAGAGCTGCTGCAGGGTTTGGGAGGATGCAACAGGGCACATGAAGGGCTGGTGTGGCATGACCACATGTAATGGTATGTGGGAAAGACCTTGAGAGACAGGACAAAGAATTGTTGCTTAAAGTACATTCAGATAAGGAAGGACATAGCCCACAGCAAGGATGTGTGTAAAGCAATAGATTCAGAAGATATCCTCTCTTAACTTCTTGGACTGTAAAGGAGATGACAAAGGATCTGTACTTTTAGACTGATGCCAGTCTTCCCAGGTAGACAAGAAAGAAAACATGACCAAGAGAACTAATTCTACTTTATTAAATGGCTATACTAACACAATCATAGAAGTCTGAAATACAGTCCAAGAAGAATTTATTATATACCTTGATACAGTATAACTAGTATTCTTATAGAAAAAGATACACATAGAATGAACTGGAATCTTGTATTTAAAAATATAGACAGGGATAGTTCTCATTATCTTACACTTCAGGGTGTCCCTTTATATATTACTTATATATCTCTTCCAAACATGAAATGAAACATGCAGTTCTGACACTGTTCATATTTTCCCTGGAACTCCAAATAATACTTGTTGGTCATAGTCCCCCCCCCAACAAGAGACACCTCCATAAGTAAAAATATGTGTTTTTGACCAGGCAGGTATAATGTGAGCCCACGAAAAGGTGCAGCCTTTTAAAAATAGTTCCAACAACTGCAGCAAGGTTTCATTTTTTCCCTAGCACCTTTTCAGATCCAAAAAGCTATATAGTTCTAGTAATGTCACATAAAACTGTATTTTACTAGCTTCATAACTTCGTTAACAAGATATCCTTGTTATACTGCTTTCTGGTATGTAAAGTGAATATTTAATTTTGAAAATTTATTCTATTCTACAATTCAATTACACTTTTTTACAGGGCACCTTTTAGATGACCAAGATCTCATTGAAAATTTGCAGCAAACAAAAATTACGTCATCAGAGATTTTTCAGCGTGTAGCAGATTCAGCAGCAACAGAAGTCACCATAGAAGGATTGCGTAAAGCGTATATTCCTATAGCAACTCGTGGTGCTGTGCTCTATTTTGTAATATCAGATCTTATACACATCAACCATGTCTATCAGTTTTCACTGAACTGGTTTCATAAGATCTTTGTAGACTCTATAGATAATGTGAAGAAAAGGGAAATTTGTCTCAGTGATGATCTTTCAAGTACAAAAATAAGTGAATATAAGGTGCAAAGCAAAGAAACAATAACGGAAAGTGAAACTGAGATAGATCACTTCAAAATACATATTAATGATATAATTGAGACACTAACATATCATGTCTACGAGGTACTTAAATATTATAATGCATAAATTATTTTCGGCTAATAGGACTTAGATGTGTATTTGGCAAATGTGGCAATGTTAATGTGTTATATGTATTTTTTATTTTGCAGACAGTTTCTTCAGCTTTGTTCAATAAAAATAAGCTATGCTTTGCTTTCCTACTGTGCACCGCAATCATGAAAAATAATTGTGGTGAAAATGTATTCACAAATAAGCTTGGATTTATATCAGAGAATGAGTGGAATTTCTTCCTGTACTCTCGGATGATAGCAAACATTAAGCAACCATCAATCTCTGACTCTGCTGGTAAACAAAAAATATTCATATTTTCAGTAAAGAAATGTGTAAAGATAATAGTGTACTCTCAGGAATGGATTTCATCATCCTTGAATAAATATGTAACATACATGTAAAATGATAGTAAGACTTGATCATAGAAAACTATAAGTAATCAACATACCATATTTCAATTGAGCTAAGCAATTACTTTTAGATTTTATAATGCTATCCCTGAATTTTTTGTGAACTATTATGGGTTGAAAATTGTCAAAATAATGAAACATGAATACTGAGAAAAATTAATGAAAAATGAATCAAAGCTTTATTTGTTTTTTTCTAATGTTATGGGCATTGATTAATGGTATAATTTTCTAAGTATAAGGATTTGTGTATCTATTGTGTATGTGTGCATATGTGTGTGCTTTATAAGTGTGAAAAATGGTCATAAGTAACTTTTTTCAGTGCTGTTACAACTTTGAACAGTCACTAAATGAAATATTGTAAGTTGTGAACTACCTGTACTATGTCACGTGACTTAAGATAAGAGAAAATGGAACAATTAAATGAATAATAAATGTTTATTTTTTCCCTTTTTTCCTGACATTTCTCAGATCAGATATCTATTCCTACAGATGTTTCTTCCAAAACATAAGTAGATATTTGCTTATTTAGCTCTTCTAGCCAAACCCATGCCATCAGACAACAGGGACTTGTATAAATTCCTTTTCTCTTAGCCTTAATTATGTTGTTTTCCTTCAGTTGCTTTATTATTTCCTTATCTATTTTAACAGTGGAGTCAGCAGAAGTACCTGCTATCTATTCCCAAGCAGATATTTGATTTGTTCTGTATTAGAATCATAGAATTGTAGCTTTAGAAAGCCATACAGGCTTTCAAGACTCACCAAGCACCTGTAGGGTGCTAGCATCCAAATTAATTTTGCCTATTTGACAACTATGGGCACTTAACTGAACGCTGCGGCGTTCTTGGCATGCTCGGCTTCGCAGACGACGCCCCCCCTCCCTCCACACAGACGGTGGCTTGCGAGAAATACAGCCCTGGAGGCTTGGGACAGGCAGCAGCATATCTGGTGGTTACGGGCGGCTTCAGCTTCGCAGACAGCTTCTCGGATGGCGCCCCCCCTCCGCGGACGGCAGCCCCCAGCATACATTAAGCTGGGGACAGCGCTGGCGGAGTTTTGGGTAAACTACCATTGTGCACTAGTGTAGAGAGTGCTTGGGGGGGGGGGACTGAAGGGGCTGGAGAGGCTGGAAGAGTGCCGGGACTGCACTGCGACTGTGAAATGGAGGGTTACAACTGCCCTGGGCCATTATGGTTGCGTCTGCCTCCGTTTGAAGGACTATTAAACCACTATTAAGCCATCTAAGTGACTGAATTGCCACCCCATACTGTTACGCTGAACGCTGAACTGCTGCGCCTGTGGGAAGAGCTAGGGATGGCCTTGGCTGCCCCCTGGCTGACGTTCTTTTTTTTCCTCTCTGTCTCTGCTAAGACCGCGGGGAACGCTGACAATATTGAAAATGGAGTGAATGCTGAGAATATCCAGAGAGAGAGCACTGAATGCTGTGGAGCTTTGTGGGTGTCATTACTCAAGTAGCTGGGCGAATTGAACCATCTCGCGAACTTTGCTGTGCCACCCGTGGCGAGAGGCGGGCGAGGACTTCCCGACCACCGGGGCCAAGGGTGCCTGCTTGGATCCTGGAAGAGATGGCTGAGACCGTCTTGGCTGCCATGGAGGCGGCTATCGGAGACTGTTTTGGGGGGACCCGACCCCCCCCAGGTTGTCTGACGCCTCCATCTGCTATTTGTGCTGCTGCAGGGTCAGGCTAGGGACAGGGTAGGGTTAGATTAGGATTATAGGGTGGGGTTAGTTTAATTTAAGGTTAGGATTAAGGTTAGGGTGAGGGTGGGGGTGGGGTTGCTAGCCTGATGGCCGAGCGATGGGCTGCCTCCACTGGGAGTGTCACGGTACAGCTGGGAGTGGGGCTTCCCCCCCTTTTATCGTGGGCTGTCAGGTGTTCTTTGTCCCGGAGGAGAGAGGTGTTGCTGGCCTGCCGTCACCTGGGGCTGGCCCTACAACTTTCGCTACTCACCGCCTGTGGCCTACTTGCCTCTCAGACTTTTCATGGCTTCCTCTCTGGACCATCGCTGGGTTATTATTATATGTCTCTGCTATTACTCCTTGGATCTCAGACACTCACGCGGGAGGTTTGGACATTACTCCCTTTTCGGCCTTTCGAATTATACAATCAGCTATATTGCGCAGTTTTATAATTTTTTATACATTTGTAATGTTTTACAATTTTTAATTGTATGGAGAGTGTGTGGCATGACTATGGTTGACTGAATGTTCCCACTTTTTATTATGATATTGTTGTTTTTCTTGTTTTTAACTTGTATTGTGGGGATTGACTGGTTGTATGTATGGGTATGTGTGGTGGGCTGGGAGTTTAGCTGGGTACCTCCTGCACTGAGTGCTTTGGCAGAAGTGTCAGGGGGACTCAGGCTTGGTTCCGGCCCTGGGATGTGTGTGTCGAAGGGCCTGCCAGTGAATTCGGCGGCCGGGGAAGAGGGTGGAGGGACCATAGATGCGGGAGTGGGCTGGAATATTGGGGTCATATTGGGGAGGGGCAGATATGGCGGGACCTTCAGGGCGAGCCATTACCGGGGAACGAGGGTTCCCTATGTCAGAGGGATCCCTCCTTCTGGCCCTGTGAGTTCCACTCCAAGGCCGATGGCATGAGTAGTCA